GTTCTATTAACTGTCTACCTCTTAATCTATCCATGGTGCAAATTCCCCAATACTAAACTCTCTTTCATTTCCTCATCCCTGAAAATCTCAATACCTCTAATAGGAAACTGCTAAACAAACTTCATTCCGCTTACTAATTGATATCACGAACCTGCAGCTCTGCTATGTAATGAAACCAAACAAATAGAGCAAACATTTCAAATAGAATTTTGATTACCATTCTTTAGGACTAGTAAGATGTAAATGTGGTGATTAATTCAGTATGTTTCCTTATCTGTAAAATTGGCAGTTTAAAAGATTTATTCTTTCAATTATCTACCAACTCCAAAAGTCTATGATTCTGTCTTAAAGTCTTAATTTATTCAATCTACTATCAATCCTGCCCAGAGCATATTCCTGAATTCCAAAAACTCAAGAAATCACAGATTTCTAGATCCTAGGTAAGGTTGTCATATGCCAAAGGAAAACCCAGTTAAATGTGAAATTCCTACTAAATAAACAAACAATTTCTATAAACAAACAAAACCTACCTTGCAAGGGATTAGAGTAACTAAAATGAATACTAGGCAAACAACCATAAAGAAACAAAAGGCTTACAACATATATTATCTATAGTAGAAAGATCAGGAGACTGGAAATCACGGAGCTGCTTCTAGGGGCAGTTCTGCCAAAAGCTACTAGTGTAAGCAAATGGCATAATGTGAATATGATGGGATTGGACTAGATAATCCCAAATCAAAACAATTCTCAAGCCTCCTTTGATTTAAAAATCCAAAATTGATATAAAATTCCACCAAAGTGTAGTCAGAGACATTACTACACAGACAACTGACAACAGTGGCTTTCGTTTCTGCTAAATAGAATAATAGAACCTAGGTTATGCATTATTCTGGGAAAGTAGATACTGGAGGCTTTAGGGGCTGCATAGCCTTTTAGTTGTCTGATATTTGAGTAGACCTTGCATTTCACTTGTTTCTCTTTAATTCTCCATGTCATAAACTATAAAAACTAAGTGATCAACGTAAACTTTACGTCACAATTTTCTCAAATGAGAAAACATATTTACGAGGGCCCAGAAAACACTTAAGATTCTCTCCTTGGATTTGAGTAGGATCTTTCCTAAAACACGAGTATAACATTGATATACAATTATGATTATGGTGCTATAAATTCTCAACCAGATTACTCACTTTTTAGATTATTCTCAGCAAAATTTTAATCCAAGTTGGCTTCCTCCTGCTACCTAGAGCATTTATCAGTCACCACCTTCTACACTAGTAACCATTTATTTTAATATGAGCCTAAATAAAACACAATCAGGAAAATAAGCCTACAAAAACATGATAAAATACATTCCAAGTAAAATGTTTGGAACATTTAGCATTTTGGGATAATATGATGGAATGGAAGGTAGGTCTTTATAGTGAATGTTTTATTTTGATAGAAAAACTATAACTTAACATTCTACTAGAGAGCTATAGATATTTAAGGATAATCTAGTCTATTGTAAAGGTCTTCAGACCATACACTCTAGTCAGAAAGAACTTTATAATGTATTTTTCTCAAGTTATGTCAATTTTAAAACCATGTATTTAAGCCATTATATGTATCAGATCATTTATTGTTCACTTGTAAAACTAATTTTATAAACACATAAATTGTAAATTTCCACTACAGTTAATGTTTCATCACTACTGTGAAAGGGCATCCTTAAAAATCAATAGTAAGTCCTATTGGTTTAAGTCCTTTTTGATTATTCTTCTCAAACCAGTAAAGTTTTGACATTAGCCATGATTATTTTATCACTTTCTATGTGTGTTTTAGAAAAAAATAGTGAACATATCCACTCCACTCTGTTCTTCAGGATAAAAGTAGCTTTTCCAAGTACAACAGATCAACTAACTTGATCATCATTTTTAGGCAATGATTGAACTTTTTATTTCACAGAGCATAATCCATCATTTTTTAAATTTGGCTCCTTAGATTATAAAGCTAAAGATGCTGATTCTCAGTAAAATTTTTAAAAAGTTGTTACTGTTTTATTTTTTATTCTAAGGAACATCAAACTAACTATATTTATAATCATTGTCAAAGTTTTCAAATGTCATTCATTTTCATGATTCTAAATCCACTTGGGATTCTAGGATAAAACCTGTGAATGCTCACTACATACTGAAGATTAGAAAAAAAATCTAGTAAGTTTACTAAACTGCAATTAGGATTTGGACCAAAATGCAAATGTGCACACCATAAAATTTCCTATACGTTCTATAGATGTAGGTAGTTTATTAACTATATTATTCTCTAAATATATATTATGTATTTAATTTGATTTAATCACATTCCATAGGTTGAATTTGGGGGTTGTTTTTAAAAGTGTTGAGAGTTTAGTGTTTATTTTTGTAATCCAACAACTTTATCCAAAAATGCAGAAAATTTTTCTGGCTGGCCAGGAGGATAACATTTCAGTGTTGATAAGTCCATTGACTGTAACAGCCCAGGAAGCGTGCTAAAACAAAAGAAGAAAAATATTAGGTAATATGGGAGAAAATTCCATACTTCATCTGCTGCCCACTTGATGAATGAATCTAACTTCCTAAAATATAGTAGTGCTTCTAAAAACTACACGTGAATTTTTATATATATTATTATAAATATACACAGTAGGATTATTAAAGCAATACAAAGAGTAGTATAAAATGTCAATATAAATTCTCCAGATACCTTATCTCCTATGTCAACTGAAATATCTGAGAAATAGTTCATGAAAAATGTGTTCACATGGCTTTGTAATACTTCTCAGAATGGGCGTATTTAAACTGAAGCATAATGCATTCATGAAAACAGAATTTTAAAACTGAAACCAAAAGTAATAGCTGTCAGACAAGATAATAAGCTGGGGAAACTACTAGACCAGGCATGAAGATTGTGAAATAACTCTGCCAGTAATTTACTATCATAATTCACATATAATTAAACAATACACTACACCACCATGTTTGCTGGAAATAAGGTTTCACACATAAAACTATTACTTCAAAAATTTATTTAAACCAATCACTTAAATTAAAACAAACATACCACCGCCCAGCCTAGGTTTGGGGAAAATAAATGATTTACCTAAAATGAAAATATAACCAATTATAGATTCTTACTGCTTTCATGGGTTTGACTTTCTTGAAATTAATATAAAAAAAAGACATCTAAAATTGTAAAAAATAAAATAATTTGGAGACTTGTACAGTTTCCTTCCTTTTCAGCATGAGTAAACAATCAGGATATGTTTAGGAAATCAACGTTTTCCTTTTAATATACTAACATAAAATCAATGCTGATTTAACATTTACGATGAAAATACTCATCAAAAGTATCTGGAAAAATTGACTTGCATAAACCAGTTAGTAAGGTAAGTTTATTCCTCTTTAATCTAGCTTCTCTCCTGACTCACTAATAATTCAAGACTAGCTTCTGTATTACACAGCCACCCTGACATTCCCTCTTCTCCATCATTACAGTGTTAAGGGCACCAACAATATTACTCCTGAAACAATCAATGAATCTGCCTCCTCTCAATGAGAACAGGAATTTTTGTCTGTTTTGTTCACTGATGCATACCAAGTGCCTAGAATAATGTCTGTCACATAGAAGGTGCTCAATAAATATTTAATAAATGAGTAAGTATTTACTGAGTACCTAAGAGACAGAAGCAGTAAAACTAAAAGAAAAGCTTATTATGCTCTAGCCAGTTTCTTCTCAGGTTTTTTAAAATTAATTTCAATTTACTATAATATAAATATGTAATATATATATATATGTATATACACATACATAGATATACAGTAATTCTATGCGGCATTTACTTCTTGAAACACCAAACTAGGATAGGTCTTAAAGCCAAACAATTGGGAATTACTGACCTGGCCCTTTGGCAAGCTTCTAGAGTCTCAATGAAGTACTAATGGAAAACAAACCAGCAATTTTCTTCATCCTTCTATTACGATGATCAGTTCCTGTTGAATTCTTATACTTGTAGAAAATAATACTCCTACTATAAAGTAATTTCTCTGCTTAAAATACTTCAATGGCTTCTCAATAAACATAAATAAAATCAGAACTCTAACATAAGCTACCCCACCCAGCTTCATCTTCTATTATATTCCCTTGCTCACTATGCTCCTGCCACACTTATCTGGCCTCTGTTCCTCAAGCATACCAAGCTCCAAGTTCATTCCTTACTGAGGCTTTTGCACTTGCTGTTCCTTCTGCCTCTAGATCATCACGACTGGCTCTTTCTTATAATCCGGGTCTCAGATCAAAATGTTAGGTACTCTGCCAAGCCTTCTCTGACAATTCTAGTCAGTCTTCACCACAGCTACCACATTACCTTGTCTTTCTTACTTCATAGTACATTTCACTACATGAAATATCTTGATCATTTGTGAACTTGTTTACTATCAAATTTCTACCACTAGAATTAAGCACCATGAGAACAGAGACTTTATCTCGCATTTACTACTGTATCCACAGCAACTAAAACAGTGCCTGTTATATATTCGGTGTAACTGAATAAAGGAAAGAATACATTTAATTTAGGGATTCCAGTGGATTTATTGTAGGCAAAACTTTTAACTAAAATGAGCAAATGCCTTCCTTGAATAATGAAAATCTATATAATGAACTCAAAATTTAGAACTCTAAAATCAGTGTCTCAGAAACTTGCTTACCTAAACACACGTAGACACTCTCTCTCAGATATTCACATATGCAAAGAAACAGCGACAGATACAGATAGAAATATAACACAGAGCTCACAAAGTGGGAAACAAACAAATGGGAGGGTTTTACAACTGAGAAAATCAAAATGTTTGGTAAGTGTAAGACGTTAAGAGGCAGAAGAGACAGATGGGTTAGGTAGGTGGATAAGATGAACAGCAAGTGGATAAGACAAACAGCAAGGGAGGAATTAAGGCAAGAGATTAAAAATAATGTCTCTAGTATACCTGCAGGTACAATAGAAGAGATGACCCTCTTTGTGTAGCTGTTTTGCCAGTTCCAGCTGATGATTGTTCATCAACTTTTCGTTTATAACCACCACGAGTGGCTTGCCTTTTTCCAGAGTCTCCAAACAGCTTCCTGCACCTACGAATATAAATCAAATTTGTTTAACAGAATTTAATGTAAATTACGGTGCCCACGAAGCTTTATAGCTAGAACTCAAAAGTTAAAATACTTAGTTGACAGAACTACAAACCGGGTCTTTCAATTATACATTTAAAATGACAAAAGTATAGTTATCAATTGCTCTCTTAAAAGTGTTGGGCACTTTGAAAAATACATTACTTTATCACTGATGATGACATTATGGCCTAGGATTCAGTGCTATGCCACTTGTTCTCTAGTATCAATGACCCTCAACTTATGATGGAGTATAATCTCATCATAAGTTGAAAATAGGCTGGGTCCAGTGGCTTAAGCTTTGGGAGGCCAAGGTGAGAGGATTGCCTGAGCCCAGGAGTTCAAGACCACTCTCAGCAACATACAGAGACCTTGTGCCTACTAAAAAATAAAAATAAAAACAAAAACAATTAATAAGGCATGGTGGCGGTAGTCCCAGCCACTGGGGAGCCTGAATCCAAGAGTTGAGTCCAAGAGTTGGACAAGCTCCCTGGTGAGCTCAAGTCACAGGGGAGCTTGAGTCCAAGAGTTGGAGCTTGCAGTGAGCTATGATTGCACCACTGCGCTGCATCCCAGGTGACAGAGTGAGAACCCATCTTGAAAAAAGAGAAAAAAAGGCATTTGAAAATATTCTAAGTTGAAAATGCATTTGATACACATAACCCACCAAACATCACAAGTTAGCCTAGCCTACCTGAAACATGGTCAGAACACACTTACATTGCCTATGGTTGGGCAAAATACTCTAACGCAATACCTATTTTATGATAAAGAGTTGAATATCTCATGCTATTTATTGAATACTGAAAGTGTAAAACAGAATGGTTGTATGCGTACTCCAAGAGTGGTTTCTACTGAATGCGTATGTGTATTGCTTTCACACCACCATAAAGCTGAAAACTCTAAGTGAAACCACTATACACTGGCCCATCTGGAGTATGCTTTGGGCATGGCCTTGAATCCAAATAAGATCCAGGTTTGACATACTGTATGTGAAACTACACTTCATTTCTATTCAAACCGAAGTAGCAAAGCAAGCCTACAGTCGAGACAGGAAGGCATCAATAATGAAAAACCATGACCACTTCTTAATGGGTTTACATGTGAGGTGCTATCCCAGAATAGTCAAGGATAGATCTCCATGAATATGCAAATATACAATATCAGGATCAATTCAATTTTGAAATCTAAAATCATCTAGCTATTTTAAACGGGTGCAAGGAGATTGATAAGTGAGTAGATAAATCATTTTTGGGTATCTTATTCAAGGAAGGTAGTTAAGAACATTAACTCCAGCACCAGATTGTCATCTGTCCACCACTTCTTGGCTGGACAAGTTACTTAACCACTCTTGTGTCTCAGTTCCCTCATGTGTAAAATGGAGATACTAACAGTACTTAGTTCACAAGATTTTGTTTAAAAGAATAAAGTTAATATAAGCAAAGCATTCAGAGCAGTGCCAAAGGCTCTGTTACCTCCCAGGAGATACATTTTTAATCACCAATCTGTTGGTAATGTCTATTTCTAAAAACTTTTCTCTCCTCAATCTAGACTTTTTAAAAAACCAAGTAACATCATCCCTCACAGCAGTCAAAAGTGCATTACTACCCAAAAGCTGTTTTTCTGAATGTCCTAGAAGTCTAACTAGACCATCACGGTGGTTTTCAGAAGAGGAAACAATTTACAGAGGATGTAGCTGTTACTATTGACTGGATTCATTTCATTCACATTGAACAGAAATATAAACAATCTTTCAATACCAACGTCTCCATGACCAATCCAAGCAATCAGCAGGCAGAACACTCCTTTAGATCTAAGGCAAAGTACTAATGTCAAGTAACAAATGTAACAATTTGTTACACTTCATCCGGTAAATGATTTTGTCTGTTTAGACTTTCTTATTGTAAAGGTGGGCTACAGTGATTAATTTCCCATTCTTCTCTCATCCCAAAATACTAAGTTCTCTCCAATAAAGTTCTCAATTGTCATATTCAAATAAGTTGCGTATTCAAAAGGGCTACAGTAAGTTCAGCAGTGATTTCATTTTACCTTGAAAAGGTTAAAGTGTCAGTTCCTTATTGGAGGGAGAGCATCAGGAAAAAATAGCTAAAGGATGCTGGGCTTAATACCGAGGTGGTGGCTTGATAGTGCAGCAAACCAGCAAGGCGCACGTTTACTCATGTAACAAACCCGCAAATCCTGCACATGTACCCCAGACATTTTTTTAAAAATTAAAAGATCCAACCCTGACATTCTAAGGCACCTTTACCTGCGTGACTAATAACGAGATCTGCTTTCTGAATATCTTCTTTCACGGAATCCTTGTACCTGTAAACATCCAGAGTAAATGACTCAGTACTGAAGGGTTCAGGTACCACCGTTCCTCTACCAATTTGCAGGATAAGTCGGCTGTAACCAAGGCTCTCGATTTTCTGAAACGGGAAATTAGAACATGAGGGCTTTTAAACTGGCTACGTAAAACAGAGCAGGAACCACCACCACTCCTAAAGTTTGGCGTTAAGATAGGAGCACGGCCGCCAAAGAGCCTACCTGTGGCCGATTTCACTTAGCTTTCAAAACTAATGTATTTTTCGGTCCGTGGCCCGACGAGGAACCTCTCGAGCCTTCAAGAATCTAAACGACCCAGCTCGCAGCGTCCCGCTAAAGCCAGAGCAGGAAAAGACTTTGGAAAAAGGAGTCGCAAACTCGGGGCGAGGGGGAGGGGGGAGGCCCAGGGACTACCCGTTCTGCCTCATTTGCTCAACTGGGAGAACCGTGAGCCCTGAGGGGACGACGCGCGCTGAGGAGAACGGCGCGGGCTCCCGGCAAGCGCTGCGGGGAAGGCTCCGGGCTCTGAGGTGAGCTCTGCGGGATGAGGCTCCGGCGCCAACGCGCGACCCCCAGAGAGCCAGAGAAGAAACTGCCAAGCCCGGTCTCGGAGGGGCGGAGCTGTTGGAAGCAGGGGCGGAGGACGCGGAGGCGGAGAATAGAGCGCAAGGGAAGCCCGGGAAAGGAGCGGAAGAAATGACGGAGAGGAGCTGCCGGGGTAACGGGAAGAGGAGACAGGAGACCCCGAGTAGTCGGGGAGCCAGAAGAGAGCCCCGCCGGGCGCGAGGAGGAGCCAGCTAAGCGGCAGCTGCACCTGTGGTAGAGTTGCGGGGGTTTCTTTCCGAGCGCGGCGGTCAGGCAAAGCTACCAAGGCTGTCACTAAGGCCGGAGGCGGCGGGTGGTAAGCCAAGTCACCATCTGCTCGCCTCCCCGACTCACTTGCAGACTGTCGGGCGCTGACACACACGCAATAAGGTCGTCAAAGCTGGTGGTCCCTACGGTAACAAACACGCACTTCATCGCGTGGGTTCTGCGACCCTGGATCGCAAGGGCCGGATGTGACGTAAGAGAGCTCGCGCACGTTGCCACGCCGCTCTCTGTGAGGGAGCCGGAAATCCGTAATGGCCGCCAGGGAGCGGCGGGCCTGGGGCTGTGTCACCGGTTGGGTGGGGCCAAAGACTATTGGTGGCCTAGGTGTCAGTCACTGTTCTAAGCCCTTGATGTATAGGAGCCAGTTCTTGAGACCACTCACTATAAGGGAATGGGGAATTACCAAATGTAGTTAACTTTTTCAAAACTGGTGGATGAAAAAAACTAACACAATACCCAAAGCATTGTGTTGCTGTTATTGCGTGGGTACCACAATCTTTTAATGACAGACAAGTTTGGGATTTTTTTGTTTGCTGTCATGTTTTATCAAGATACATTTTAGAGATGGTTCTACTTCTAGTTGGCTAAGGGGTTATGAAAGATAAAAGTGCTTTGCCAGGTGCAGTGGCTGTAATCCCAAACTACTGGGAAGAATTGCTTGAGCCCAGGAGTTTAAGACAAGCTTGGGCAACATAGCAAGACCCTCATCTCTAAAAATATTATTTTTTAATCCAGGTGCCATTGCTCAAGTCTGTAATCCCAGCACTTTGGGAGACCAAGGCAGGTGTAATACTTGAGGTCAGAAGTTCCAGAGCAGCCTGGGAAACATGATGAAACCCTGTCTCTACTAAAAATACAAAAATTAGTCAGGGGTGGTGGCAGGTGCCTGTAATCCCAGCTACTCAGGAAGCTGAGGCACGATAATTACTTGAGCCCAGGAGGCAGAGGTTCCAGTGAGCCCAAGATCCTGCCACTGTACCCCAGCCTGGGTGACACAGAATGAGACCCTGTCTCAAACAAACAAAAAAAATTAATTAGCCCCCACCTGTGGTCCTAGCTAGTCAGAAGGCTCAGACTGCAGTCAGCAGTGAGCCAGGACCTCACCACTGCACTCCAGCCAAGACGACAGTGAGACACCATCTAGAAAAAATAAATTTTTTAAAAACTCTAAAAAATAAAAGACATCTTACAAGATATGGGGTCTGGCTCTGTTGCCCAGGCTGGATTCTAACTCCTGGGCTCAAGTGATCCTCCTGTGGCAGGCCACATCTCACTAAGGCAGGTCTCCATAACAGTTGTTTCAGTACTGAGTAGTGAAGTTAAATATTAACAGCTGAAAAAAAAAGTGAGTGCCTTTATACAAAGGCTGGAGTGTAACAGAAGTCCACCAAGAGTTTTGCCTAGGCCTTTCCTGGGCCTTAAAGCATGACAAAATAACAAAGGAATTCTTAACATGACCCATTTAGGATTAAACAAGTTTAATTGTGGGTCTGAAGAAACTCCGCAGGCCTCCACAAACAAGTTTATTGGGATTCTGAAGGAACTCCCCAAACCTCTGTGATTTAGCAGAAGACAAGATAAGGGTAATTGCACCAGCACCTGGACCCATTTACAGTTAGTAAATGTACTGAGACTCCAGAGGAAGGTCTTCAAGATTCAGACCTTAATTATAAATTGAAAGCAGTTAATCACTTATGTCTTTAGATGAATGCACACTTATATGTAGGCATATAGTTTAGAAGGTATGTAAGCTCTGGAAAACATTGTAATTTTGAGTTGGTCTGGTGATAATTTCCACGCCTTCTCCATATAAACAGTTACAGAAATAAAAACTCTCTTCCCCCGACCCAGTTCGTCTACATCTTGTCATTGGGTGGTGAGAAATTGCAGCCCGACTCTCAGTGTAGTCCAGGAACACTCTCACCTCTGCCTCCCAAGTAGCTGCTACTATAGGTGCACCAAGAGTGACTTTTAGAAAATCACTTTAACTTGGGCTCTTCTACCAACTGTGGTTTTCAGAAAAGCAGGGCCCTTTAGGGTCTCCTGGTAGCTGCAGTTAACCTCCATTAGCAAGCATGACTTGTGAAATAGAGGTGATAAAGCTTGAAGCCTAGATCTATAATCTGTTGAATTATTCCACTGAACCATTTAAAATGTAAAATTACACATTAGCACGACGGCAAAGTACCACAGATAAATTACACTTAGGCAGGCAGGTACAGGAGAGGTTATTTCTAAAAACACTCTTTTTTTCTTCTACCACCATCATACCATTGTTAAGATAATTGCTCACTCTCCTTCTAATGTTTTATGTTATTTCCTATTTAAATTATCACCTTAGCTCCTATTTGTGCTTTGCCCTGCCTGGATATATATAGAACAGAGGCTGTGAGAAGAAATTATTTTCAGGAAAAAGGATTGGAGGTAAATTGGGCTTAGAACATCACCTAAGACCCTTGGGCCTATTTCTACATAAGAATTTTCTCCATAGATTTTAAGTATAAAAATCATCAGTGAACCTATGGAGAAAATTCTTATGCCTATTTAAGGCTCTGGATAAAATTAACCCAGGGTGACTTAAAACTTTTTTTGGCTACAACTTGGAACTTTCTGTATCCCTAATCAAATTTATTTATGCATACAATTAGAACAAAGAGGAATCTAGGCCTCTCAAAGAAAATACGAGGCTTTCTTTAACAGGTACTATGAAAACTCCAAATGTAATCAAGAATTTCAAATTGCCTTCTTGAGAGAAACTAATTCTGAACTCCCTGTCTCCAAAAACTTAAAAATCCTCCTAGCCCAGATTCTGCTCCCAAGAGGGACTCTGTAACCCTTTGTTCTCCTTTCACTCCTTCTGTGCTACCTCTACTTTATTCTCTTCTGCAACTACCTTCTTCACTTTCTGAACTTCCTTTTTTCTCTTCACTGTCTATCCCAGGCACACTACCCATAACCCCTCAACTCCTCTTATTGCCCCATTTAAAATAAGTGAAAATGCAGAGGGAGATCAGACCATTTCTTACATTCCTTGGTCTAAATCTGAACTCTTGGCAATTGGCCTAAAACTGACTTCCTTGAGTTTCAATGCCACTTTGGTTTAATCATGAGCACATACTGGCCCAGACTCACCAAAATCTAAATAATTTACATGCTGGGGGTCAGTGTCATTAGTCAAACATGTATATACCTAAATAAATGGATAAAACCTCTAGAGGACTTTCATTTCAAAAGGGAAAAGGCCATAACAAAAGCAAAGAAAATAACCTGTGATTTGTTAAAGGTCATTCCAGTGCTTTTCCTCTGGAAAATTAATGGGAAAGCCATTCAGTGATTCACTCAAAAGAAAGATGAGTCTGTCTTAGATTATTATGACTGGTTCAAGATGGCTTTCCAAGCTGGGCGCGGTGGCTCACGCCTATAATCCTAGCACTTTGGGAGGCTGAGAGGCAGGAGGATCACTTGAGGTCAGGAGTTTGAGAGCAGCTTGGCCAACTATGTCTCTACTAAAAATGCATTTAGTAGAGATGGAAAAACCCTGTCTCTACTAAAAATACAAAAATTAGCTGGGCATAGTAGTGCATGCCTGTAGTCCCCAACTACTCAAGAGGCTGAGGCACAAGAATCACTTGAGCCTGGGAAGCAGAGGTTGCAGTGAGTTGACATGGCAGCGCTGCACTCCAGCCTGGGCAACAGAGTGACACTCTGTCCCAGAAAAAACAAAAAAAGGCTTTCCTGCAAAATTATGGTATCAAGGACTTAATGGAGGATACCATGAACCTTTTTAATTCCACTTTTCTTTCAGATCTTGACCAGACTCTTAATGCCGTTGTCAAACAACATAACCTCAATCAGACCTTTAAGAAACCCCACAAAATTGCCTCTTTGGCAAACTATCTCTCTAAAACTTCATAAAGAAACAAACAAAGAATAAATAAGACACCTGATTACTAGGAAAAGACCACCATGCTCATGGCTCTACATATACAGCAATTCAAAAAACAATCACAGAACCAAAATTCTCTCAAGATGTTGGGAAACAAGATCTGTTTCTTTCGCAAGGGCTTTGATCACTACAAAAGAGGTTATGGAAAATGCGGATGATGGTTTCAGAAGAACCCAGATAAAGCCAAGGAAATGCCAGCTTTTTCTTCATTACAAGAGTAGGGATGCTTCAGGGAGATAAGGGCAACATTCTTTCTTCTGTGAACAAGCTGTAGAAAGTTGGTTTGCAAATGAATAACAAATTTATTGAGGCACAGATAGATACTGTTGCTTCCCTCTCAGTGCTAAACTCCCACTCTTTTTCAGATCCCCTTCCCAAGAGTAGTCAAACCACCCAAATGATCGGCGTCCCCAGCCAGACAGTGATAATCAAGTCAAATCCAATTCCTTATCATATAGGGCCCATCATTGGATACCATAGCTTCCTCCTTCCCTCCCTTCCCATACATTTATTAGGAAGGAACTTCCTTGAAAAGGGTCAAGCCAACATCATTTACTCATAAAGGAAATGTGTTATATTAGGAATAAGCTCACCTGAGACCTCTGCTTTGTTTTGTTTTGGTTTTAACAAGGGAGCCTTGCTCTGTCACACAGGCTGAAGTGCAGTGGCACAATTGTGGCTCACTGCAACCTTGACTTCCTAAGCTCAAGTGATTTTCCTATCTCATCCTCCTGAGTAGCTGGGATCACAGTCAGGCGCCACTGCACCCAGCTAATTTTTTTACATACA